TTTATTGAAAAAACAAACAGGGTAAATAAAAGGATCAGGTAAATAGGATACTGGAACTTGGTATAGTCCCAATCATACACATACAACAGATTGGTTCCCACGGAACACTTTAAGGTAACGCACAGACCCTGAACTTATCCGTTCTGGCTACCTAGATAGAAACCTGAACCTATCAGGTATGTACTATCTGACGAACAGTTGTACCCAGTCTGACCCACAGACTCCAACTCCACTTCTCCACGTCAGCCCAGCTTACGAAGGACTTCCCCCAAATATATACAGTACAGCTCCTCCCCCCTGATGTCCCGCCTTCCACACCCCATAGGATGGAACTTTCCCTCCAAACCCATGACAGACAGGTACCATCAGTGCGGTATGTGACAGAGGGCAACCTTGTCTAGTGCCTTGGCCTAAAGCTATCTGTTCTGCCATTCTGTCATTGACTATTACTACAGCGATATTTTCCACATATAGTTGGTCTATTATCCCCCTAAATTTCTTTCCAAACCCCCAGTCCTTTAAAAGAATCTCTAATGTTGGCCATTCTATGCAGTCAAATGCCTTAAAATATCTAATGATACCTGCCTTTAATTTATCTTTTTCTATATTATATATAATGTTCAAGACTCTCCTAGTTAAATTTTCCGTTTGTCTTCCCTTTATAAACCCATTCTGATTCTCTTTAATATATTTTGTGATAAACTTACTACAATTCTAACATGCATTGTCATACTATGGAGGTAAATAATTTAAAAAAAGTCTTCTCCCCCATTTCACCACGTCTTCAGGGTAGTTTTAACCCCCTGGGGGGGGGGTCCCAAACAGGTTGGAATTCAGCCCAGGGGACAGAGCGCCATCCTCCTGCTGTCTCATTGCAGCATCAAGCCAGAAGTCCCAAGTGTCATTTCTTCAGTGTTGTAACATGAAAAGATATACTAAAATATTTATGAAATGTGAGGTGTACTCACTTCTGTGATATACTGTACCATCCTTGTCAGATTTGCCCTCAACTTACTAAGATTCAGGTTCAAACATACAAACCCTTCAAGTTTCTGCCCCTCAATCTTATCAGTGAAATTATAAGACCCTGACAAAAGCTTGTTATAAACAAGAAGGCAGGAATTCTCAGCATCTCAGGGGCTATGCATGCCTACAGGCCTTCTGATGTCCACCTCTGAAACGCATGAAAAGAGTTTATCCCTGTTCATTACCTGTGTAGCTCATGTAGTTGTTGAAAGGAGTTCCAAAGAAGTGGGTTTGGCCACAGGTGTCGTTATTAGGATCTGGATCCCGGCAGAGCTTGCTTTTGGGAGCAGGTGCAGTGTCAGCACATAGATCTCCAGTCTCCATGGATGGTGTTGTCTCCCTGCATGGGTCATCACAAGAATCCTTTTCATCCACCCCTTTAAAGACATGGTAGAGTCCCAGGACATGTCCAACTTCATGGATCATAGTATTTGTATGACCCGGCATACCATAGTAAACTGGATTGAGGACTACTCCACCTGAAATTGGAAGAGCATTCAAAGAAAGGGATATTGGTAAAACATCTGAAATTCTGAGCAAAATTATTTATTCATCTTTGCAAAGAAAGCTTCTGGAGTTAATATGGGAAAGAATAGACCTGCTACCAGAAAGGGTCTCCTTCCACAAGATCTATTCATGTGCAAGCATCCTGGGTTTATCAACAAATAGGAAATATGACACAGATAGTTCCTTGAAATAAAGTTCATCTACATTTTCTAAGCTGTTGAAGCCCATCTATATCTTCTACGTCTTGCCTTTCACAGAAGGCTAGCACCCTCCTTGCCAATATATCTCCTCATGCTTATCAAGGCTGCTTCTTGTTATTATGAACATACTTTCATAGAATCACAATCAATACACATCTTTGCAAAGAAAGCTTCTGGAGTTAATATGGGAAAGAATAGACCTGCTACCAGAAAGGGTCTCCTTCCACAAGATCTATTCATGTGCAAGCATCCTGGGTTTATCAACAAATAGGAAATATGACACAGATAGTTCCTTGAAATAAAGTTCATCTACATTTTCTAAGCTGTTGAAGCCCATCTATATCTTCTACGTCTTGCCTTTCACAGAAGGCTAGCACCCTCCTTGCCAATATATCTCCTCATGCTTATCAAGGCTGCTTCTTGTTATTATGAACATACTTTCATAGAATCACATAATAATGAAGTTAGAAGGGGCCTATAAGGTCATCCAGTCTAACCCACTGCTCAGCGCAGGAATTCAAATCAAAGGATATCTGCCAGGTGATTATCTAAGTTTTTATTGAATGTCTCCAGTGTTGGAGCACTCATCACCTCTCGAGGTAACTGATTCCATTGCTGTACTGCTCCACCATCATACTGATCATTATCCCTGTTGCCTTCCTCTGAACTTGTTCCAATTTCTCAGTACCTTGAAGGACTTGGAGACTATACTTCTATTAATAACACAGTATTTACTATTCCACACATTTTTTTTGGACTTATATACCGCCCCATAGCGCTACAAGCACTCTCCGGGCAGTTTACAATTTTTAATTATACAGGCTACACATTGCCCCCCCAGCAAGCTGGGTACTCATTTTACCGACCTTGGAAGGATGGAAGGCTGAGTCAACCTTGAGCCGGCTACCTGGGATTTGAACCCCAGGTCGTGAGCACAGTTTTAGCTGCAATACAGCGTTTTTTTAACCACTGTGCCACGAGGCCCTTTTTTGTGCCATCTGCAAACTTGACAAGCATTCCCTGAACTCCCCTAGTTGTTACTTCTTCCCAGTTGGAGAGGAGCCATTAATCATCACCCTCTGAGTACAATTCTGTAGCCAACTGTGTATCCATCTGACAGTTGTTCTATCCAGCCCACACCTAGTTATCTTGCTATTTAGAATATCATTGGGCACTTTGTCAAAAAATTTGCTGGTCAAGATAGACGATGGCTACACTATTCCCTCTGACTATCAGGGAAGTTACCCATTTTGGCTGAATATCAGGAATACCTTCCTAACTATTAGAACAGTATGGCAATGAAATCAGTTACCTAAAGAGGTGGTGGGTCCTCCAACACTGGAAAAATTCAAGAGAAATTTAGACTACCACCTGGCAGATATCCTTTGATGGCCTTATAGGCCCCTTTCAACATCATGATTCTATGATTAAAAAATGAGATCAGTTTATTCTGGCAACATTTTTGAAAAATCCATCTTGTCTTCTAATTATTACTGCATTATTTTCTAGGTGCTTGCACAGTGACCGCTTTATAATCTGTTCCAGAATTTTCCCTGGCATTGATGTCAGGCTGTCTGGTTCCTCCTTTTTGCCTTTTTTTCCACATTTTTTTTATTCACACAGAAACAAAAAACAAGACAAATAGGAACAAGGAAAAAAGAAAAGAAAAAAGGGAAAAAACTAACCCCTCCCCCTTTTGGAGTCCGAGACTCCAGCTTCGTTAACCTGTCTACTCCCCCAATTTCATTTCCAGTATGTGCTAAGTAGGTATACATGCATCATAAACTTTGGCCTACACTACTGTCTTCTTCTGGGCCCAAGAATATATTAGTTCCCAGCTTTGTTTTACATAGTCTCCTGGTTGTTCCCGTAGTGCTTATGATAGAGTGTCCAGTTCTGCTATGTCCCATAACTTCTTTAATAGCTCTTCTATTGTTGAAACCTTTTCGGTTTTCCATTTTTGGGCCCAGAGTAGTCTAGCTGCTGTGAGTATATATATAATACAATGCTTCAGTTTATTATCATTAATGCCTGATATGACATTAAATAATGCCATTTCAGGTTTTATATCTAATTTCTGCTGGGTAATTTCTTTTGCTACGTCCCATTTGTGTCCAATAATTTTTGACCTTTTCGCATGTCCACCACATATGATAATAACTTCCTGCATTCTTTTTACACTTCCAGCATATATTGCTGTTACCCTTTGATATTTTTTGCTAATCTTACAGGTGTGTAATGCCATCTGTAGAACATTTTAAGGATATTTTCTCTAAGATTTGCTGGTTTAAGCATCTTATAGCTTTCTTTCCACATCTTAGTCCAATCATCGAGATCTACACTGTATCCAAAAATTTTTGCCCATTTTACCATTGTCTCTTTCACCCTCTCATCCTCTAAATCATATTCTACTAAGTATGTGTACATTTTTTAATTATTCTTTCATCCGTATATATCCACAATCTATCCACTTGTACTTTACCCTCAAAGAAACCCACCATCCTATATTTTTTGTATCTTGATTCTAATTTTACCATTGACCACCAATCAACAGCTACGCCCATTTTTTTCAAGCTTTTGTTTGTCCTTTATCTTCTGCTCATTA